AAGAAGTGAGTCAGAGAGAGTTTAAATGATGTTAATTTGTCAAGTTAGGGTTGATTAAAGTGATGGAGGTAGGTGCGGTTCGGATAAACGTCAAGGAAACAGGAAACGAGCAGGTTCTGTCAGCTGGGATGTTGACATGCGCCGCATGCCGGCAGCTCCAGCAGTAATCTTATAGAAGTGGCAGATTAGTTCTTATAACATAAAATGTCTGACATGCATACACAGATGCATCCATCCACCCCCCCCCAACATACACACAGATGCAGGATGCATGCTCATTTGCGCACACACGGAATTCAGTGCATACAGTGGCAAAGTAATCTGTGGTTGTAAGAAACACCGAGAGGTGGTTGTGATTGACAACCAACCCGTTCCCGCTAAAATACCCGTCTGACAGAGAAAAGAACCAAACGCAGGAGTTCAAAAGCCAGCCACAGAAATCGCCTCAGTATACTTCACATGAACGCAAACAAGAGTATTTCGTACGCCTCTGAGGAGCTGAGCATCTGAGGTGAAATGTGTGTTAAAAATGAAGAAAATCGATGCTCTTTGTGCACACCCGGGTGCCAATCATGAGCATGCCTCTTTGAGGGCCAAGTCTCATGCAAATGTCAGCTCCCTAGTACATTATAATTCCACCCCAGATCTTAAAGGATGACACAGTTCCAAAGCTGCACTCGCTCCACTGCGCAGCTCTGAGGGAAAGAGGGGGTAGTAAAAACTGCTCGCTTTCTTTGTTCAAGAGACATTGTAATTTAACTGTTGGTAGCAAGCAGTGGCAATTGCCTTTAATAATGGTCTCTACACTCTAATTTGTGTAGGGATTTGCCCAGACCAGTCTTGTCTCACAGGCCCTTAATGCGTCTGTGCCGTCCGGCCGATGTTGCTGAGAGAAGGCAAGGATGTACCGAGCGGAGGAGAGTGGAGAGATATTTACAGTAAAGGGAAGGAGTGAGAGCAGGGGAGGGAAAAGTCTCCCACAGCAGGAGGTGATTATGGAAGGGAGAGATACTAAAGTGTGCTCTGCCATTTCCTGTTCCTCATAATATCCGATAATGTTGGTATAATTAAACCCAGGAAATGTGGCTTCATTAGTCCCAGTCCGGTTGTTAAAATGAAGTGCGAACTAATTGGTCAAGTATACACCATGGCTGAAATTATAGAGATGCAGAATGGAGATGGAAGCAGCTAACCATGCGGAGATAGATATGACTGACAAAAGCCTGACAGCAAAGGTGATGTTTTGTTTTTTCGCAGGTGATGTAAAAGCACATTCAACGTTAAAGTGGTCTGGTGAGGGGAAGCTTGCATTGTGTATGATCTGCTCTGGACCTCAGCACAAAGCCTTAGCCGCCTTTGGTTCCAGCAGGTTTCCTGCCTGCTGTCATCTGCATCACAAAAAGAGGCCTTTTCTCAAGACAAACACTGATCAAGTCTTATCTTTTTGAGACATGTAATCCACTGGGGAAAGCCGGACTTGTAGCCATTAGGCACTGTCCTCTGAGCCTTGACCCTCTGCACGCTCAGCCTTTGTAGCGAAAGGCAGTAGCAAAGCTTGTTTCCATTCAGCTGGGAGAAGTGGTCAAAGCCACGAGATCAAGCTGTTCCCAGCACTTTCTTTTCTTTTTTTTCTCCGCTGAGAAATACTTGTCTCAATAGTTTTTTTGGTAGATGGTGTGTAAAAAATCCTGCAGAGAACAAGATCTGATGTTTGCCTTGGTCTCCCGTAGGTTTGACAGCATTTTTGAGGAAAAGTTTGAAAATTCGGAAATGGTAAGTCTTAAATTGGGTGGAAAATAGGAGCTCCTCGCTGGAGACATGCTGCCATTTTTATGCTTGTTTATTTCCTTCTTTGCTTCTTTCTCTCTTTGCACAAACCATCTGCCACACAGGTCCTGTGTGACTTCACTTCAAGAGCTCTTAGTGGCTGTCTTCATCAGCTCAAAATTCGCTGCAGAAAAACAGCTTTAATTAGTACTGAGGGGGAAGAGAAGCAGCAGGGGTCGCACGCTTCACTATATTTTAGAGAAAACTGCTTGCAAATGATCAAGAATCGCATTCCACACAGCTTCTCCTTGGCAAAGGCATTTAATGCTTTTTTTCAACATTATCTCTTTTGTGTAATAAAACACGTAAACGCTTAGATTATTAAGTAGACTAGGCTACTCTTCATATGAACACGTGTTCAAATTAGCAACAATAAGACAAGCTGTGAAACTACATCGCTCAGATCACTTGGAGCAATAACTCTCAGGTTGCATGCAGGTAAATCAACTTGTCCGGCTAAAATTGCCAACCGCAATATTTCAAGCAGCCTTGTCAATATCCCTGAGCCTTGAATTTGCCCTACTAAGCATTGTGCTCTGCAGCTAGAAAGATTGAAACAGCAAATGTCAGAACACTGTTGAGCAGCGTTCGGTATCTTGTGTTACATTGGAAAATGAAACTCTACAGACTGCAGTCTGATCCATTCCAGCAGGCAATTACGCCATTTCACCAAGGCCGCTAGGAAAGCTTCACCAGAATTGGGCTGACAGAAATGGCCTCTCTGACACATCAGAGGAAACTAGGGATGCCCCCACTCCCTTTTTCTTCTCTTTGCAGGGTTTGTCAGGGTTCTTCGCCGCTCGTTTCGTTTCAGAAGGGCTTTGAACATTAGCTTCTGTTGTTCTGTTCTGCTGTAGCTTTGGAGACATTTCACAGCCCATTAGCTGCTCTTTTAGCCCTAACCACGACTCAAAACCCGGCAAAGAGAGGAAGGGTGGGGGAGTCACTGACAGAGTGACAGAGTATAAAGCAATTTTCCCAAAATGTCAAACTATTGCTTTAATATATTTTGGCATTTAGAGGAATCGTGATTTTTTTTTAATTATCTTACTGAGATAAAAGTAACCGCAGGGAGATCCAGTATAGTCTTGTTAATTTGAATACATTCATATTATACAGCAGATGCTAAACTGTACTACTGTCTCAAATATATCCCTGTTGCCTTTAGGGGAAAAAGAAGAAGAAAGAAAGCATGCAAAAAAAACTAGTAGAGATCAGAGCTTAAAGCCAGTGGTCAGAATATTGTAGCTTAATCAGCCGTACACGCACCGTTTGGTTTATAGCATTGTGGTTTGGCCAAGACAGAGTTACGGTGGTTTCCAGTGCAGTTGATGGGGTTGAACAATTTGTGCAGCTGGCAGAAAAACCATAATCAATCCGGAGACTATAGATAAGGGCCCTAAAACCAGCCAAGCACAGCGTTTTCTCTTATCGCAATTACACCTTGCCCTCCTCAGGTACAGCCAATTAAGCTAGGAGAGGATGCGCCGGCAGCCACTTCACATTGAGGAGGCCTATCAAGCATACCCCATCACTGCAGAAGGGGCAGAGAGGAGCTTCTTAAGCATATGAAGATAGGGGGAGGGAGCTAAATTAGCAGCCTATACTGTTTTGCACTGCAGGTATTAAGGCCTACTGTACGTTCCTGGTATTTCATTAACGCACGTGTATGAAAACAGGAATTGAGTGGCGTGCTCTGGTGAGTGATGAGCAGTCTACTGGGTGGCTGCCTGCTGGCTGCGTTTCATCAAGGGACCAAGGGCACACAGACCTTACCCTGACACTTCCTCCTCTTGCTCTCTCACCTGCTTTTTAATCCATTCATTACGTCACTCCTCTTTTCCTGCCTTTCATTGCCGAACATCATTCACATTATGTGACTCCTTAGCAGCACAGAACAGGAAAGGAGGTGTGGGAGAAGAGAGAACTCATGCGTGTGTTTTAATGTGAGAGCGGTTAAGAAAGGCAGCGATGAGGTCAAAATCAAGGATAAAACTTGGGATGAATACAAATCTATTGTGACTTGTATTCCTTTCTCTTTGTTTGAATTTTACTGGAGTGGAGAAAAAAAAGTGCCATACTCTCGCTAGCTTGGCAATGAAAAATTGATCACACAAGCTTCTCTGTGCTGCGGATCACTGTCTCCTCCACCAGCGAATGGTGGTTAACCAAACACACAAAAGTAAACCTCAAGTGCTTGATCTGAACCACAAGTTTGCACACCTCTTTCCTCTCGCCACTTTTGAGGTTTCAAAGACCAGACACACAGCGTGTGGTGTTTTGTCTCCACCGTGTGATGCCACCACACCAATTTAGCGCGACAATTTAACCCCAAAGCATCCTCCTTCATAGAGCGGAGAGCAAGTTGAGCAGGATCGCTTCTTGCCTCAGCGCCATACTGGAACTCTGACGATAGCATGTACAGTGGGGAACATCGAAGCACACGAAGCAGTGTTATAGATTGAGAGTGGCCGACACAGGCGCTCTCACGCTGCTTACACTGCGAACCAGATGTCTGACCAGAGCGCACACACACACACACAAAATAAAACCTAAGATTTACACAAAGCCAGTACTGCAGATGGACTTTCCCTTTAAACCTGTTTGATGAAATGATTGAAGTGCTCCTCCAAGCACAGGAAGCCATTGATAACAACCCGACAGAGGGGAGCCAAATTCAAATTAAAAGGAAAAGAGAGGCTGCCTCAGTGGGAGGAACCATCGACTCCCTATTTAGACTACATGGAGATGCGTTCCACTAAAGCTGGAATGAGACAAAGTGAAAAAGAAACCACTTATTGGCTCCTTATTGAATACTATTGGAGTCAAAAGGGGGTAAATTGACTAAATAGGTCGAGGAAAAATGTGAGCAGGGAAAATATGCTGAATTCAAATTGATGTGATTGGCCACATGGGTCTGTGGATGCTGCTTTCATAATTGCCTTCGCTTGATGTTTTCCTCCCCGTTTCAACATTTGCCGAAACACGCAATGTGATGTAGAGGAAAATAGCTTCCTGGTGAAATTATGTTTGTGGCGCGGCACTCCCCCACTGAGACTAACATTTGAGAATGGTTCCTTCCACATCAACACAAACAGCCAATCCGCTGTAGCCGGTCCACACACAGATGGCTCTGAATCAAGGGGGTGTGCGGCGGCGGCGGCAGTACTTACCACGTTCACTGGACAGGGTGGTATCTGTCACCAAAAGACAAAGCGAGAGGGAGAAAAAGGGCAAGGGGAAAGGAGAGAGAGAATGATGATTAGAACATAATAGGCTTCAGTAAAAGTGGCATTGCAATGCCAAAGTCACCGCTGAACAAGAGAAAAAAAACAGATCAATTTCTGGGGATTAATGGGTAGTCACAGGCAATAGCCGGACAGGGACATACAGTATACAGAACGTGGGGCTACTATCGGAGAAAATTTGCTGTCACAACTGCGTAGTTGCTCACATTTGTCTTTGTCTATTACCCAGGCAGCACCATTTAACCAGAATACAGTTTGTTTTCTCTCTCACACTTCTTGTCATTGCCCCAAGCAGTGGGATTCATCATTATCTTCAAACGCTTGTTGTGATGTCTACATTGCTCTTGTTGCTCACTCAATGAAACACAAGAGACTTGCGGGATATTGCATATTGCGTATCGCACGCACTTATGTACATCGTCGTGGGCGGTATTTATTCAGGCCATGGCACCACAGCTGGGTGGCCATGAGGAGAGGCAGCCGTGGAGGCCCTTGACGTCTCTCTCCTTATTGCGTGCCCTTCTCGTGTCCTCCAGTAGAGTTGCTCAGGCAGATTTGATCAGAGGTAATTTCCAAGGCTCACTTTTGCATTTATTGCTTACATTGTTAATCTAGAAAGCCTTTACGATGAAAAATACCCACTCAAAGTGTAAAGAAAAGGCTCACTGGTGGCTCTCAGCTTCCCCTCTCACAAGAGTAGTTTTGTTTGAACTTTGCTGTCTCACAAAAGTTTGTCGACAAATGCTGGAAAGACTCCAATTGTCCCCGTTCTAAGCCACATCAGAGGCCTGGTTCAGTCCACCGCATCAGTTCAGACTAAAACATCTCAACAACTATTGGATGGATTTTGGACACACATTCATTGTACCCAGAAGATAAATCCTCCAAGGGTCGGCGATTGTTTCTATTCATATCGTCCAATCACCACGGGGCGGCAGTAGTGGGGGGGGGGGGGGGGGGGGGGGGGGGGGGTGGCCCCCCGGGGGCAGGGGCGGAGAAACGGAGACATCTTTGTTTTGGAGAAAAT